ATGTTACTACAGCAGGAAACCTAAACTAAACTAACTTTATTTATACTGGATAGCTCTCTCAGTTCTAAACTGTTCTCCCTAGAGGTCCAGTAAGGATCATCTCTTATTGATCCAGTGTTACTACAGGAGGAAACCTAAACTGAACTAACTTTATTTATGCTGGATAGCTCTATCAGTTCTGAACTGTTCTCCCTAGAGATTCAGTGAGGATCATCTCTTATTGATCCACTATTACTGCAGAAGAAACTTAAACTAAACTAACTTTATTTTTGCTGGATAGCTTTATCAGCTCTAAACTGTTCTCTCTATATAGAATTCCAGTAGGGATCATCTTTTATTGATCCACTGTTACTACAGGAGGAAACTTAAACTAAACTAACTTTATATATAGTCCAGTAAAGATCATCTCTTACTGGTCCAGTGTTACTACAGGAGGGAACATAAACTGAACTAACTTTATATATACTGCATGGGCGGCGCTATCAGTTCTAAACAAAACATTCGTAAACTAGAGGGCACTCAGAGACGGTATACCTCCGCCCGCTACTCGGAAGTGAAACACAACCTTGGAATTTGCTAAGAAATCTACTTTGCAATTCTTAAGCATAAAAGATTTTAGCTGCATTGTCATTGGTCGGCTTTCAAAACAACAACAGGCCATTCGCAGAGGCCATTCGGTAACTCCCCAAACGTTTGCTCTCTTACTGGAAATGTCCTGTTGTTGTTTTGAAAGCCGACTAATGATAATGCAGCGTGGAATTCGAATTTGAAGGCTATGAATTCATACCAGTCACAAACATCGGAAAATTAGACATTTGTAAGTTTCAATTGGCATTTTCTGCAGGAAGATATTGTTCAATTCTGTTAAAGAAAAGTATATTATGTAAAAATTATCGCTCTTCCAATGTAACGTAATTTGGCGAGGATGTGACAGCCGAAGTTCGCGTTATTGGATTGATTTCTGTCAGCGTTTGTCCCAATTAGTCCAATTAACGGTCAAAGTGACCAGCCTTGTATTATTTCTTGCTGTTAATCCTCATGTCAACCACAACTATGGCCGTTAACCTCTTGTCAACGCCAATCTTGGCCGGTTCTCGTTAAAATCTTTCAAGAAACACATGTAAGTGCTTTTCATTATACTATTATATAAAGATATATATAACGTAATAAATTAATAACACAGGATTTTCTAATGATTTTCAATATACTATTTATATAGAGATATAACGTAATTAATAACACAGGGTAAGATTGGGCCGCCTGTGGAAATACCAAACATATTCATACGAAATCTTTTGAATGCACTTCCCATCGGCTAAGGAAGAACTGATTAAAATTTGGTTGAATTTGGTTAAAAGTTGAACGAGAAATGAACAAAATTCTGTCTTGCTTTTCCCGATCAATTAAAAAACTCACTGAATGCGTAATTAGGACGTGTATAATGTATGCACGCAGTACTAAGACAATAATGAGATGATAAACCTCATTAAGCCTCAGCCTTCATTATCTATTGTCTTAGTTGATTTCACGCGACCGAAATTCAATGTCTAAAACAAGGCTTACGGAGTTACGCATTATTGCATTCAGCAAAGTGCCGGAATGTGTGCATGGAATTCTAATAACATTAGATTACTTCAATACAGGGTACCGGTGTATAAAAAAACGCAACCTCGTAATTTCCCACTACGAAATCGACATTGTTTTAAAGACAAAATATTTAAGCTGCCTGGAAATTTAAAATAGCACAACTGTCAAAATCACTGCACACGCGAGTGCATAAAGCAAAATTTATGCATTTATTTAATGACACTTTTGAAATAAGTTTTATTTTACAAGTACTGTACAGTACAACAACAGTAATATGATCTATTAGCAATTCGATTTCAATTCGCGGGGGCCTAAAATCTTTTATACTTAAGAATTGCAAAGTGGATTTCTTAGCAAATTCCAAGGTTGCGTTTCACTTCCGAGTAGCGGGCGGAGGTATGCAGTCTCTGAGTGCCCTCTAGTTTGTATATGTTTACACCAGTATATATTTAGATTTTCTGAGTTTAAATTTCAGCGAGTGCCGGTGGCGTGTTTGTCTAGGGCGTTACGTGCGTTAGCACGTACTGCTAATCGGTGGTTCAAGTCCCGCAATAGTCAGTGTTTTGTTTTTCCGGTTCTCATATTTTTTTTCTCTAAGATTTTTCCTAAAATTGTCTTTATTCAATACCTTTTGGTTACATTAGGGTTAGAGTTCGGGTCATGTTTATTTTTTAAGTGTGGAATTTGACTAGAAAACACAGTTTAATAAGTGGGGAAGTACTAGAAAACACAGGGGAGTTGCTACTGTATGACTGTAAATTAAATTTATTAAATTGCCCCTTCTTTCAAAATTCGATAATTTTTTTTTAGAAATGTTATTTCGCTGTCACTTGAGGCCATTTAGTAGTTCGCGCAATTTCCATAATTCGCGCGAATTCGAATTGTATTAATTAATGCTCAATGTTGAGCCGCTGACATGATCTGATTTGATCGCGGACGGGGCTCACAGAACGCCCGCGATAAATTGACTACCTCCCTCGTCTGGAATTACTCCATTAACACCTGGCTCTCTTTCGTCTTTGCCATTTATGGCAAGCAATAGCCATCAAAGTTGTCAATGTCCACATGTTATAAAATTTCGTCCTTGTGAATTCGATAAAAATGTTGCTGTAGACTGTTTAAAAAAATTTTGTAAATGATCGAAGGAAATTGGAACAATACACTTGTTCAATGTGACCAGATTTTTTCCGAGCACTCATTACCAAAATATTTTTCAAATTTTACTAAATTAAGAAAAAATTTAACCAAATGTCGGCTTCCCAACAAATTACGTGGGTTAGTGGTTAGGGGTTAGGGTTAGAGTTTATCATATATATATTGATAAATTCGGACGTGTTTAACAATTTACTCATAATTATACTGTAGTAAATTCAAAGGTGGAGTTCATGTTGGTATATTTGGACAATTTTTACTTGTTGATGAACAAAAAGTACCTTGCATTTATCAAACAACATCTAAAGAGTTTGAATTTTTGCACAAAAGTTACACAGCTGCCGTTGCTATAGCAACAATGACGTTTCGAGATGGCGGATATTTTGGCTTTAAAGTAATTTAACTCGTAAACGACATCGGTGACTTCCAAATTTTATTTTAAAAAATGATTTAATTCTCTTAGTAAAATCAATTATTTTGACAATTAAAAAAATTCTATGGAGCAAATAAGCACACAAAAGACCAGTATAAAAGCGATATAATAGACCTTAATATCCACTTTTGATCCAATGGCTTCATTTTCATGTTGACTATTTACTCGTATTCCTTGCACACAATTTAAGAATGAGTTTGTAAACGGGCTTAAATGATGAACGAGAAACAAATTTGTGCAGGAATCATTCGGGGACATAATCGAGAATTGTCTAGAAGTATAAATATTTGCATTCAGTTCATACGCCATAAAGGCAGCACTTTCCTTGCGATAGTAACTCCTAGTAATAGATTTGCACCATTAATTCTCCCGAAAAGGTCTTTTATTTTTTTTTAAAAGTCCATGGAATTTGCTTGCGGTTTAAGATTTGTATTCCTGCCTTTTACACCATAGCACGTATCTCGTTATTTTCAGGCCAGTGTGAACGCCTGAGCAGGCGTCTTGTTTCGTTTTAAATGCGAACTAAAGACCATTTGTATTTTCAAAACAACAAAAATGAAATGGCGAGAAATTTTCGAACTTCGTATGTCACTCGCAGGGGTGAAAAACGGAAAATACGCGCACCTGGTCCCGGATGTAGTGACGTATGAGTTCTGTTTTAGTTTCCAGTAAAACACCATTGTCCATATAATAAGGATATTTACGAACTTTGTTCATGAAACTCTAAAGATATTGGCTGTGTAGTCTTCGTTGGATTGTTGCTTGTTAATAGAAGCGTCTCTTTCACGAGCGTGTTGGTTTTCATCGACGACAAAAAGATTTTTTCTTCATGATTTTGTAGCTAATAATTTTGTGCCAGGAGAGAATTGCTGTGAATGCTAATGTCTTATGAACCGGACTTGCTCTCTCTGAGCAAGACACCTTAACTGGCTTCCCTGCAACATTTAATACATCACGGTCTGTCCCGGTTGACCGCTGTCCAAACTAATTATATTTGTACGTATCTACGATATTTCGTAGTTTTCTCACACACGGACTGCAAACTACTTGCGACGAGGATGGAGATTGCCCTAAGCCTAGCGCTATTCCTACATACTTCAAATTTCTTTAGCCGACATCCATATATTATTTCGTTTTGAAATTTGCAAACATAAAGCAAGCAATCTATATTATTTTATTCTGACAAGTAAATTTTCAAACGTAAACAATCTGTGTGATTGGCCAATTTTGACATCTGTTGAAAGTACGCGTAGCCCCCAGGCTAAGTGGGCGGAAATGGCAAAACAGTAGGTCTGGTGAAGGCTCTCCTTTCTCTGATAGCCGCTACCCAGTCTATCTTAATTTGGCGCTGTTTACAGAATACCGCTTGCCGCCAAATGTTGGTATGTATAACTGATATTCAGGCACTTTTTTAAAAAAATTAAATTTTCTAATAAAACATACGTATGTAAATATAACATGCTGGCATTTTTTTTAAATTAAGTTTTCTAATAAAAATCGCAAAATTTTATATATACATACATACGTGTGTGTATACATACAACACCCTGGCAATTTTTGAAAATTAAATTTTCTTGTAGAAATCGAAATGGCATTTTTTTATTACCTTTTACCTTTTTTCTAATAAAAATCGTAAAATATTGAAGATCGGATGCGAATGTTTTAATGTGCTTAAAAAACGGCCCATCTTATGAGTTCATTGGCGAAGTAATTTTAAAAATAAACATTATCTAAGCCGAGAAAATCAAAGCTGAAGTTTATGTAAATCAGGACAAATCTTTATCCGATTTACAAACATTGATTAAACATTCATTTATTTTGTATTTTACTCATGAATTATTAATAAGTTTTTTTAAATATACATTACGTATATGTAGCTATATACAACATGCTCGCATTCTTTTACAAATTACGTTTTACAATACACTGTCTTTAGCAGCAATTTATGAACAATGGGTGATATACAGTGCCGAAGACGGAAAACGTACCTGAGCGAGTATTAAAAACTCTTAAATAGTTCCAGCTGGTACATTTTGAGAGCTCAGAACTTGTTTTCACTTGCCATGTATAATAAACGGCCCGTGTCAGGGATAATTTTATTCAACTATTGTGAATTGCTCATTGAGAATGTCAATGACAAATTTATTGTACCACATTTGTAATAGGTATAAATTACATGTATTGTTAGAAAGATAAAAGCTATTAATAGCCCAGATAGCCAAGCACATATTACTGAACACATTACTACACAAATGTCACAGTTTAATAGGGGCGGACCATTAGAAAAGTGATGGGGGGGGGGCAAAAGCAAAAATAAAAATCGAGCAGGGGAAACAGAAAAAAAATTCGAGCACGAAAGAAGTTTAAAAAAAAAATGTGTAAGGGTGGGCCCCCAAATTTGGAAAATAAAACGTTTTATGATATAAGTAATCGGGTGTGAGAAAAAAGTTTCTAAAGCTAAATATTGAAGATATTGGTGCAAAAAAAAGGGTTTTAAGCATGTTTTAACAAGAATTTGTGAGGGCAAATTTTTTTTTGCTTTGCACCTTAATAACTTAACTGATGTTAGTCCGGAAAATTTTTTTTTGACCCTTTTTTTAGTGTCCTGAAAAAATGTTAACCTCTCCCCCGCCTCCGCCCCGCCAACACTTTTTTGAAAAAAAATTCGAGCAAGGGATGATTTAAAAAAAAAATTATCGACACAAGCAAAACATTTTGAAAAAATAATCGTACAGGTTGGAAATGTCCCCACCCCCCTCACTTTTCTAATGGTCCGTCCCTTAGTATGGTTATATTGTTAATTACTTATTTATAGTGATATATAATCCCACGCTGTGATTTATCGTTTATGAGCAATTAAATTTATTAAAATATACAAACCTGCATGAGGGTTGTAAATTGATATTGTGGCTTTACAAGAATGATTACATATGATATGAATGATTACCTATAAGTATAAATATCGAAAAACCGACAATAATGAACAAGCTGTTACAGAGCTGTGTCTCATTGAATCTTTTTTCATCCTTCTTTCTTCATTAACTTTGGCCAAACTTTTATACTTTCGTTTTGACCAAGTCAGACGTGAACAATTCCTATTTTTCTGCCACGTATCCGTTGCCAAACGCCAGCATTTTGTCAGCAGGGTATTCCATGGGAATCACTTCAAGGGAAGTTGTCGACTGGCTTGCTCCACGACGCTTGACCAAAAATACAACAGCTACGGCCAACAAGACGACTATGAGCCCAACGCAGATCAGTATGACTATCATGATTGTGTTTGGACCGGATTCAGCAACCTCCTCTACAGGTAAAGTATAAAACAAATCAAAGTGGGTTGTTTCAATGCATGTAGTATAAGTTTAGAAAGTAGCCAAACTATAACTAGAGACGGGAAACTCGTCTACATAGCAAGGTAATGTCGTCTGACTCGTTTTATATATTTCCGGCTGCAGACGAGTTATCCGACGAACCCTTTAACGTGCCCAACGAATGAAGTTTGCAAGACATGAGAAAGTCCGCCAGCATGGCAGCATGCTGCCAGGAAATGTTTTAATCTGACAGGAAATTTTTAAGGAAAAGCAAGATATGAAGATTGAAACTCGAGTAATTTCGAAAATCAGCATGAAAGTGACATACGTCACAATTAGAGCATAAATACAACAATCATAACATAAAAATTTGTATCATGTGGCAGCGCTATATATACGACTGTCTGTTATCATGATTCATGATTATGATATATGTGGAAAACAAGGGCGTACTACTATTATTGAATAGTGCATGAATACTGATATAAATTCAGATTTACAATCTGAAAACAAAATTCAAATATTGTTTCATAGAATTCCTTCATGTTCCTTATTTCTATAGTAAACCTATATTTTTCTTAATATTGAGGTATAGTATATGACTTAATAAGGTAGTTTAGTATTTTTGTACAAGTGAACATAACAAATCCTACATGTTGATTGGTCAAATCTTCGTCTCGGCGAATATTCCCCGATAATCATCTCGCCATCGGCAAATAATTTTTAAATACACATTTACAATTGAATTACAACCAAAATTCAAATTTATAAAAAAATTGGCAGGAAATTTTTGGTCTGCATGGGAAACCTGCTGCCTTTATCAAGGCTTGGAAGTTTGTCTGAACGAAAAACTTGTTTCACATTTACATGCAGAAAGACAAATAATGAACACGGTCAATATAACAACGGGTATTACGAGCACATCAGTGCAGACTGGAACGCAGAATGATATGGTAAACAAGTTGACATTAGAAGGAAAGACTACGTCTAAAGTCAGGGAAGAAACTAACCGAACTCTTTAAAAAAGAAAACTGAAACATAGGACGGACTACCAAATAGGTACTTTGACCATGATGTATTATTGCAATTGCTTTGTTTAGCGTTTTTGCACTTAAAAGTTTACATGCAAACAAAATGCCATGTACGCAGCTGTAGGAAAGATGCCGTTTTGCACGGATCTAAATATCTAATCATATATTGGCCTAAAATCCAAACGCTTTGCGGCCCTAAATTATATATTGAAACAAGTTGGTAATACCATTTTGTCCCTTCAAATTCGTGATTTCCATCTCTATGTTCGGCTATTAATTGCCTAGGGAGCACGGTCTTAGCTAGGATTTTAGATCTTGGGCGTGTTTCTAAATGACCTGGGTGTGCGTATTTCTAGTTATGCTCGCCAACAACAGACAATGCCTGTGGCTGTTGTAGGCTTTGCAACCAAATACAAGGCTAGGCTCACATTGCGTACTGACATTAAAATATTAAGTTTTTTCAGCAACTCTTGGGGGTATTTAAAACCATTTTATATAATACCATATGGTTCCCATTATCCATCAAAACATTAAAACATCACAGATCACTTTTTCCAATTTCATCAATTACCGTAGATTTTAGAAACTTTCTTACAACGAAAATGGGAAGAAATGCTGTCTGTTGTAAGCAGTAACACCTTATTTTATGAACCTACACGGCCTTATTTAATTAATTAATCCGCGTTCATTTTATCTAGCCGTGTTTTTCTATTTTTGGCCGCGATAACACGGCCAACACGGCCCTCTAGCTAAGACCCTGCTAGGGAGGGATATATATATTCTGGGCTACTGCTCTTCTCTTTGATATTTAAATTGTTGTCACTGTATTTTTAGTTTGAAATTGAAGACCTGATAAACTTAAAATTTCAAGTTGTGAACGTTTACCAGGAACTATAGGTTTCTTGAGTATTTAGACTTGCGCCAACTCCCGAATTCTTTTAACCACTATAATGCGAATGGCATGACGTAGCGGGCAAAGGGAGTGGTGAAACAGGGACTTGTTAACATATTGGAACAGTTATTGGACCCGGACGTGGACCAACACAATATACAATTCCTAATAAATCCTCCCTCTCGTGCTACGTCATGTCAAAATATTATTTCTTGTCCACTCAAGAGTTTATTGGGCTTTCATCTCCTTCCCCTTCCCCTTCCAAAGAGTCAACTGCTGCTAATAACTTAATTCAGTCAGATAGGCTACCAAAATAGGTTAATTGTGGTTTATCCCACAAATTATAATAGACAAACCTTGTCCTTGATCAGTTTTTACGTTTTGCTCCTTTGTCTTTTCCCGATACATAATAGGACCAATAGAAAGTTGAAAGGTGCGTTCGGTAGTTTCCAATGGTGACGCGTCACGACGTTTTCTGCTGGAACAAGTGGTACTTCGGGTACAAACGGAATCTTGGATATTTTTGTTACATAGTCGCAGGTCACAATGGATGTAAACAAACTCGTGATCAACCAGAAATCTGAAAGCTTGGATACTAAATTGGTGATATTGTTGCAAACCGCTTGAATGGTGGGTGATCGTTGGGTCTTTATCACAACTAGACAAATAACAAAGGAGTACTGAAATATTGTTACTTTGATTGGGTTTTGTTTCAAAATTTCGTTGAAGTTTCCAAAACCCATAATTTTACCGCGGTGACAATGTATTGATTGCATATTATTATAAAAGTATAGAGAGTTTTTTGCCAAGTAGAGGGGTGAAAAAAGGTATCCTCCCGGTGGACGATGTGGATATTTCCACATAGTTATGCATTTTATTCCACTTTTCGTTAACACAGCATTACTACCTGTATATTGTCATAAACACAGCACTCATACGTAAGACTACATGAGATAAACCAGCTCTTAGTTTGGAATTAAAACAAGAAAATGAGGAAATATTAAAAAGGAAAAGAATCTGTTTTTGAGGGCAGATACTTTGTAAATGAACTGATCGTACGCACCACCATGAAGTATATCATTGACATTGTTTTATTGTGTGGAGATTTCTTAAATTACTGGAAAATGTGAAATTTTCTTAGAATAATTCCTGAAAAGCAATCACTCGATACAGTAGAGTAGATATACGACATATACAGTACTAGTGACATTATAAAGAAAGCTGCGGTGTCGATCAAGGATATACCTGAAAAATATGATCAGAAGAAAGGCTCAAGCGAATTAAGGCTCTTCGAAGCGAAGTTAGTAGATTTCCAACGCAGGTCCTATAGCTTCCCTCGAAAAGTTTGTATTTTTCTGGTATAGTCGTATGTACCCTTCACACCGTAGCTTTCTGTTATCGTTTCTACAATTTTGGACCCTTGACTGAGATCACTTCAGCCAATATTACAAAGTTATTTACAAAGTTATTGAACATTGACAATCAAAGTTTGTCTACCCCTCCCCCAAGTTCAAAGTTGTAAACAACACCGCAACAACTTTTGGTAATATACCATTACACAAGCTCAACATTGAGTTGTGGAAGCGGGGGACTTAAGAAGGGCAACATGATTCAAGATGCATGGAGTTTATCATAAAAATAAGCCAATTTCCAGACTGTAGCAACTGTAGCAAATGCTACAGTCAGATTTTTCTGCAAAAATATTTTTGATGCTGAACGTGGTGATAGTAAAAATTCTTTCTAGAAGTTTTCCAGTTTCTCTATCTTAAAAAAAATAACCTCCGCAGCTTCGACCAGATGTCCGTACGTATTTTGTGAGCTAGAAGTATAAAGTTACGTTTTTACGCGCTTATCTTAACCTGATTTTTACCCGAAACAGCGCCCGCTTTTAGGAGAATTCACTTAAATTTTTTAAACATCGTTCAAAAAGCGTTCAGACAAATGGTCTAAATATAGCGATTTATGACGTCAAAATGCTACAGTCAACTGGGGGTATGACGTCAAAATGCTACAGTCAGCGGGGGGACCAGTTACTAAATTTAGCATTTTTGCTACAGTCAGATGAAGCAAACCAATCACAGTGCTGCAATGCGCTACAGTCAGCTACAGCCCGCCACAGTTGCGCAATTCGATAGGAACTTTAGAGCGATGTTATTTGGCTATATTTGTTTGCGCTTTTAAATTAACGAGCCAATTTCTTTCGAAGAAAAGCTAAGTCGACTAAAGCGCTATGTGAGGATGCCATCGGGAGCAAAGTTAAGGCCGATCGCTTGAAATATCGCGAGGTATTTGTGTGTGCTTTTTCGAAATTACAATTCGAAACGCTAAAAGAGCGCGCTCGCTGAACCACGGTCAGGTAAGCTTATGAATATTAGAATATAGCAATAATATTTTATGTCCTACTTGTAATTATTCAGTACCTTGTTTATAATTAAGAAGTTTCATTGATTGAATAATGATTTTTGCGGCGATAAACAGTATATAAATGTAATCTCAAACGCTCCGTGCTAGTGTTTGGAAATTGCGCGCCGGAGATTTCGAAAATTTAATAGCAAATATATAGAAAGCATCAAAATTGCGCGGCCGATATCTCCGCCGCGCGATACAAACTTTCCATACTGGTAATGATAACAACCGTAACTGAAAATTACAAGCAAAACCTCGAAGTTTGGCTTGTATTTTTAGGTGGTTGAATCTCTGTTAGGCCACATAAAAAAAATAGTTGGTTAGCGTCCCCGCCCGCCCACAAAAAAAGCCCCGCTCAGGATATTTTTTTATTTTAAAAAACCCCGATTTTTATTGATCAACGGGCTCTAATATATGTAGTATTTCTGTTGACTGTAGTCAATTGTGTTAATAATTTGCGAAATTGCGTGCGAAAATGACGGTATGAATTATATTTTGAAATATATAAAAAAATATCTGTACTGCGCAAGAAAATCCAGTTTCGGACCTAACAGTGAGTAAAACCAAGGCGTTAAAAATTAGTAAAAAAAAAGCGCCCGCCCGCCCACTTTTTGGCCGAAGTTAAGGACGCTAACCAACTATTTTTTTTTATATGGCCTTAATCCGAAGTTTTCTTTCAGTATGTAAATGTGTCTGTTTGCGTTATATATCGTTCTGCCCAATGATTTTATGCATTGATTGTAATTGTGTTTATACACTATATGTTACACATGTGCGGTATGATATTAAATTACATACTAATGTAGGGAGGAAGGCAAGTCTTAAACTTTTGTATACAGTAATTAAGAATGCAGATTTGGTATGTCGTTTAATTTAAACATTTCACTGTTATTATTAAGGTTAAAATTTGATCTTATTAAGGTCAAATTTTAGAACAGAATTCGATGCTCAGAATGCAGGAAATGGCGTTTCCGGGGTTCAAATTTCAAAAATTTTCCGGGGGGGCATGCCCCCAGACCCCCAAGAATTCGTGGTGCCTCCTAATTTTAGGATTATGCTACAGTCAGATTTTAAGCTGGATCCGCCCCTGGGGAAGAGTAGTCTCAACCAGTTATGTCCAGGATTGTAGCTACAGTGGCACCGACCGTTCGTGATTTTATTTAAAATATACTCCCCAATACTGAAATCCAAAAATGACTCACGCTTCAGAGATGAATTCATATTGAGGTGTATCATAAGGCTTGCTACTTGGTGTTGCACGACATGTTTCAGCTCGTACAACGATATCAGTGTTGCTGGTGCTCACACCATACTGAATGTTGATACGATCTTCGAAACTTTTGAAAGCTGGATAGTCCTCGGAAGAGCTTGAAATGAAACCAGCGTCTTTGAAGGAATCCATGTTGACAGTAAAGTTTCCTATATCACCTAAAATAGAGAATGCCTTTTAGCAGTTAAATGCATCAAAGGGGTCGTCACTCAGAAAGCATTCTACTCTAACGCCTTTATTCTAAAAACTCACTCACACTCAAAAAGTGAAGGTTCAATCTGAGCTTCCCTTTAGTGTCAGTGCCAGTTTTAAATAGCTGGAGGGTATAAGTGGTAGGCCCATAGTAAGGTACGACACTAACCCTCCAGCTTCAAAAACACCACTGACACTCAAGAAGAGCTCATATTGAACCTTCCGTCTTTGAGTGTTAGTGAGATTTTAGATACAGGCGTTAGACATGGAGCTTAAGTGGGTTCGATTCTCGCACTGGCACGTGTATGTGAAAAGAGTCTATCAACGCTCTACCGAAAGTCGTGGGTTTTCTCCGGGCGCTCTGGTTTTCTCGCACAGGGAAAGTTCACAGAGTGAGTTAGGATCTTGAACATAATTGAGAAATTAATATCACGATTGTTGTTTGGAAAAATAGTCTAGGCAAGTAAGTCATATAAGTAAGCATAATACTTCATGTAATCGGTCACCGAAAATAAAGCGAGTGTGCATGTGTACGTATAACACAAACTTAAACCACAGAATATGCCGCGGACTCTTTGTGTGACTTCTCTTGATTATTTAAGGTTACAGAGCACCTTTGAATTTGTTGAAAACACCTAAAAAAAATTTCGGTTCTGATTGCAGCTCTCGTAGTTAATGTTTGACTGAGTTTGAAGGAAATATTTTGAAAACTCACCGAGTTATTGAATGAAATAGTTTTTCTATATTCGCAAGGGGCGCGAAGGTTTATACTTTGAATTTATTGTTTGATCGAGGTTGGTGTATGCCCTTAAATGGAAGCAATTGTCAAAACAAATTACTTTTAATTTTCTGTCATCTCACTGGTCAACAGTTGTTGCATGCAATTAGCGCAGACATGAAAACAGTACTTTATGAGTTTATAAGCACAGCAAATCACCAAACCCAACCTATGGCAGTCCCTGCTCTTAATAACTTGCATGCAGCTATAGTAGCAGGCTTAACTTTTTGCCATTGTTGTTGTTAATAGCTAATATATCTGTCAGGCATACAGTGATTATGAAGTCTTCCTTGTAAATACCTATAAATATTATCTAGTTTTTTTAGTATATATCTCCTCCTACTGTAGTATAATACTGTTTAGGAGTATTTCATTAAAGTATTAAGGCTTTAAAGCATAGGGGACGCGCACCACCGATTCAGAATTTATGAACTTCTTTATACAGTCAAAACAAATTACTTACTCTCCTCAACTGTTAATACTGGTTTTGGAGGTTCAAATTTGAAACCACTGACGCTTACTAAACGGCTATAGGTACATTTAAAAGTGAATGCGAGTGATTGTTTCCTTGTAATAACTGACCCGGGTGATGTTGGAATAGCCGCTGTCAACGTATTATTGTAATACATTTCTTGGTCAGTTTCAGAATACATCGTTCCACATCTATTCAATGCCGTGGTAACATACGCATGGGTTGCATTGTAACTTGCTTTACATGCACCATCCGCAAGATACATGTTGTCAATGTCGACAGATGATAGCGCATGCCTCCCAATTACCACTGTAATATTATCTCTGCTGCATAACACAAGGTATGAAGTTGCTGTGAAGAAAGAAGAAATTAAATAATCGTCATCACAAATCATACTTATGGATAATGTCGATGCCGTAAAATTCAAGAAGTATATCTATTCACATATTTACAGATCCAAGGCGAAAATTAATTTGATCTCCCTCTACAAGCAATCATTAGAAGGGGAAGCCTGGGTCCATGAGAATTAGATCATGTAACAAACTCTCGTTAATTCCTGAATGACACGGCATTGACAGTAAAATGTTGGCAACGAGACTAACTGATACGGCCAAGGCAAGGCTTATTCTACGTTCACACGGGGCTCGATGAATTCGGAACCGGTTCTACATGTTCACGCGGAACCTGATTATTAATAAGAAGACGAAAAGTGAACACACGGAACCGTATGATTGTAGTCCAGGAACTACGTATGCGTATGCAGATGGTCTCAGTCAGTCTCATCCCAATCCTCTACTGTGCAAAAAAGTCTTGAAAACAACCGGTTCCGCTCTTCACATGGAATGCGTTCCGTTAAATGCATACGTTCCGTGTATAAACGCAGGACGAACCCGGACCCGTGCGGACGAGGCCTTAATTTACATTCTACCAAAATTCGTTTACCTAACAAATGCAGTATTAGCCTGCGAACAGGCTCTCAAGCTGAATTGAGAGCCTGCATCGATGACTAATGAATTTGAATATCTGCCCCGTAACGTTCGTTTTTCCAAATGTGGAATGTCTATCCTTATATGGTGTTGTTTACAACTTTCGTGCAAACTAAATTTAGACCATGCAAACTAAATTTAGACCGTACAGTTTATACTGTTTTTCGAAATATAAGATATTGAAGCAAAAGTTTAAATGTTTTAAATACTGTTTTCTCAAAACAGAACATTTCGTGCTTTGAGATAGGATGGCCAAGACCAATTTGATCAGTTAATGTGGTTTTTATGCATAGTGCTAGCAGTTGACTTATATAGAGCTCAGCGGAATAATATAAATTATAGCATCTGACCAATGAGAATTTTGCGTCACGATTTGAGACGCAGATATTCAAATTCATTAGTCATCGATGCAGGCTCTCAATTCAGCTTGAGAGCCTGTTCGCAGGCTAATGCAGTATGTACTTCATTAACATTAGAATTAAAGATACTCTCAAGTATTGTAGAATCTCCAAGAATTTTGCCATGCCTATTGATACCTTTTTGTATCATTACATATAAAGGAAAACGTCCAAATACAAATCTAATGAAAATGCTGGCTGAAATCACAATTTTCCATCGTTTGGAATTGGTTGCTAAGTATTGAAACTAAATCTCATTTAGATCTAAAATTTATTAATTTTAATTTAGAAAACCCTAACATATGGCACTATATATGTTACGGTAATCCCGTTAGTGATTAATTGCCTTTTCAGCAGAATACTTGCCGTTTGTGTATCAATTATTATAGACTGTATAAACTCAGTCATAAACTTCATAAACTTTAATAAGTACCACTCCCTAAAAAGGGCTTTTCAGTGATACAATTTAGAAAATATATTACAATATGATTTATAAGAAAGTTATATACTCATCTAGAATTACTCGTGTGCACTGAGTAGTTGTTTATATAGTTTATGTTTAAAAGATTGAAGTGATTTCTCTGATTTGAACTCTGGTAACAACGAGTTCCATAATTTGGCTCCTCTAAAACTAAAAGTTCGCTGTCCTGTGTCAAGGCGACAAAGAGGCAAATGTAAATCACTAGTGTTTCTTGTAACTCTGGAATGTACTTGGAATGGAAAACTCTGGAATGGAAAACTGCATGGTGAGCTCAAGATACCCACACCAATTTAATTACTCATTTTTGCGCAAGAGACTTAAGGTGGTTTTCCAGTCATCGCACGAAGCTCGGTGTGAGTGCATGCATGAGCACTTTCATCCAATCACAATGCTGAACAGTTAATTTGAATTAGATGCAAGCACTCGCAGCGAGTTGCGAGGAGCTTCGTGCGAGGACTGGAAACCGCCTTTAGAGGATTTCAGTTTCCTGCACAATTGCAATGGTCACTTTTATATGAGGGTATACATACATACATACATATATATATATATATATAGTTTTTCGTTTTACCTCAGAAAACCACAACAGTCTGTTTCATCCGTATAGGAATCATCAGGTGGTGAATAATTTCGAAATTGTAGGTTGCTTTTATGCTATCGAAAGAATGTGCGGAATGCGTGTAGGCGAAACAATGCTTAGGTGAAACAATGCATGCTTGGGTCATTAGGTTTTGTTAACGACCTTGTTTACTCGAAACCGGTTTTTGTGACGACATTTGCCGAAAATTTCGCTTCTTTTATTGAGTAAATTGTCTTTGTTTATGTCTTTCAAAATGCAAAATTTTTCTTTACATTTCGTACACAGGGGGATCAAAATTTTTCTTTACATTTCGTACACAGGGGGATCATTTCGTACACAGGGGGATCAAAACGCTGCAATTTATGTTTGGAAGAAAAATTTTGCATTTTGAAAGACATAAACAAAGACAATTTACTCAATAAAAGAAGCGAAATTTTCGGCAAATGTCGTCACAAAAACCGGTTTCGAGTAAACAAGGTCGTTAACAAAACCTAACGACCCAAGCATGCATTGTTTCACCTAAGCATTGTTTCGCCTACACGCATTCCGCACATTCTTTCGATAGCATAAAAGCAACCTACAATTTCGAAATTATTCACCACCTGATGATTCCTATACGGATGAAACAGACTGTTGTGGTTTTCTGAGGTAAAACGAAAAACTATATTATGCTCTATCTATATGGTATTGAGCACTGTTTGTGTTTCGTAAACCAAAATCTTAAGCTATATATATATATATATATATATATATATATATATATATATATATATATATATATATATATATATATATATATATATATATATTTAACAGTTATTTTACGAACTCGAGTGGAATATGAGCTGATAGCCGATGAGGCGCGTAGCGCCGAATCTGCTATCGCTCATATTCGACGAGAGTGAGTTGAATAACTGTTTTATTATATACACAAGGTCTGAATTCACAGACTTTGCTTTTCGAATATTTTCAATATTTTCAATTTTGTTTATGTTTTTATCTTCGCTCTTTCGGCCGATTATTTTTCAAAAATATATATTTTTAACAATTTTAAATTTTAAAAATTTATTTGCTAACCTCAAAACAATTTGTGGGAGTTTTTTCATTGTGTTTTTAATCCTGTGAAGGCTATAAAAAGCGACAGCCTGCCGTTTTCTCCTTTGCAAAACATCGTAAATTCAGTTTGGCCGCCATTTTGTTTTTCTCTACTAGCAGGATATGAGCTAATATCCTGCTAGTAGAGAACCAATCAGATTACAGAATACCTCATATCCAGACCTTGTGTATATAATAAATAAATAAATATATATATATATATATATATATATATATATATATATATATATATATATATATATATATATATATATATATATATATATAGTATATATATATATATATATATATATATATATATATATATATACAATATATATATATATATTAGGGTAGGCATGTAACCATTTTAAAATATACATTCAACGAACCACCAAGAACTGAACATTGTTCAGTATAATATCCCAACAAAGGTTTGTTTGTTTGTTTGTTTGTTTTAGGCTTAGGACGACGAGTGCACGCGCGCAATGCTTTAATGCTTTAATGAAATAAAGCATAATAGTACTCCAGCAACCTCGTTCCCAGGGTCTCTCCTTCTGTCATCTGGGAGAGTCCCTGGCTGCGGCTGGTCACGTGCCTCCCAGATTCTGGGAGGTAAATTTAATTGTAACTGTGAGAGGGGTGGGAAAGGAGCGTGTTTGTAGCGTTTTAAAATTGCAACTTTGGGTGATGCAATTTACTGTAAATTTGCAACAAGAAATCGTAAAGAGAACTCTTGAATTAATATTTATATCGTGACGTTCTACTGTATAATCTGGTGTCGAGTTACAATTCAAGCAAGTTGGATCAGATTTCATTATAGACTTGCCAAAGAAAGCACGCTTGCCGCTTGTGCAGCGTGGCAATATTAAACCTACAAGAAAATATATATCTCTAGACCGAACAGTGTGGTTGTTATTTATTTAGTATTAAAGTTTATCCTGATACTCGGACCAAAAGAATTTATTTATTGATGAGATGTGGAATTGCAACGAAATAGCGAGATCTTTTGATTTCCGAAATATCGCCAACTGTATCCAGATTGCTGATCTATATAAAGGCCTTATAAAAAAACTTAAATCCCGTCAAAAGACTATAAAATTGGCCCTTGGGCCTTGGCATAATGCTGAAACCAACGATCATGGTATATGTCAAAGTATTGCTGTCTGTTGAAAATCTACGGTATTAAAATCATACACCAAAGATAAGTCAAACGACAAATTATATGTCACTATATTATACATGTCTTTCAATGAACTATTTTTAGTAGTGTTCACCACCTTTATAAATTTTGTAAACAGCTTTCGTTTTGACATGAATAAGCTTTAATTTTTTGCTTTATATGCATTCTTAATATATACAAGTGAGATTTAAATTTTTGCTTTGTGAAATAGAATACCGTTATTTTTTAATGGACAGCTTGCATCGTCTATATCATATCCAGGATTGCTTGTGTGTAAACGCATTATTCACTATATGACACTAACAAATCAATAAATACAAGTAGCAAATGATTAATGAATTAGAGATAAACAGGTGATTCACAATGAAAACTTTAAAAATGTTAGTAGAAGTAGAAAACTCGAAAATTTATGTCTATTCGTATGACGCCAAATGACGGTCTGTGCGCATCTGACACTGTAAATTTGTGATATAGATTATAGTATATTAGCACAATATAATGATTAATAGAGACCAAGAAAAAGGCTAAAGTCTTACTATAATTACCGAATACGAATTATGTACTAAACCAGATAAATCAATGACTGAAATTTCCTCTATGCTTATGGACATTTCTCTGTTCGGCTATTATCAAATGTTTACATTTGCTAATATTGGGCCAGTCCTAGACAATACTGTTTCTTTTAAAAATCTTATAAACAAGACGCGTAATAACAAGTGAATCGGTGCAAAGCGTATCAACGTTTACAAGAAAGGACAAATGTAATGGCCTATTTTAAAAACATTACAACAAACGTTTGTTATAACCGCGCTCGAGTGTGAAGAGAGTATGCATTGAATAACAACACGAGAGAGCACTGCGAGTAACGATTTGCTTGGTTTCTTGACTTGACTGTAAGTAAGAATGTAAGAATGTTCTTGTAAATTCAAAGCAAAGAAAATAAACAAAAATTAGCAAGTATTTTGAACGTAATAATTCGCAAAATCTATGTTTTTAACGAATATCCCACTGGAAGCATGTTGATGTAATTTGATACTTTCCCCACACCCCCTCAGGCGCTACATTTTTTATGAAGCACGTGACCAGCCGCAGCCAGGGTCTTTCCCAAAGAAAGATCCTGGGTACGAGGTTGAGACAAACGTGGGGAGGCGAGCGAAATGGTGAAGTGGAAAACTGGCTTAAGTTGTCGAAGTCGTTTTTAATACTGCTGTTCTGGAAAGCAAGTTAATTTTGGCTTGGAAATAAGTATGAAAGAAACAAATTATTTAATATCTTTACAACATTTACCGTTTATTCATTTGTGTCATTCAGACTTATTTCCGAGTCAAAACTGAACTGAAGGTCATCAGACATGTGTCCGACCCAAACTCAACGTCACCGGACATTTTGTCAGATGGCCCTGTAAAAGATATTTTAAGGCCTGAGTCTATAAATATTCAGAAGGCATGCAGTTGAGTGGGGAATCTCAACTCCTTCCAGCTTTAAAGTCGTGAGTCATGATATTTATGAACATAAAATAAAAACACGGGAAATAAAAACAAAAATGTGCAGGTTAAAAATACTTGACTGCCTACCGCAGTGAGGGAATAGGTTTGCGGCCCAGCGACACACGTTGTCATCCATTCATTACAGTGCCCGATGTCTCCTCGCAGCAACCACATCATAGATTATAGATCTATGACCACATGGACGACATTTCAACATTTCTTGTTTTCGCTAAAATGACAAATTTTAAAACAAATTTAGCTCCAAAATACCCTAAATACTTTATGCACTCTTCTCTCTACTAATTTAAACTAAACTTCAAGAAATGTAAGCTATAATTCAGTATCTTTATGCCAGAACAAAACGAACGTCGAACGTGAAGCGACTTGCGGTCGTCAACTTCGACAAGAAGTTTTAACCACTTTATCTCGCTAAAATATCAACATTTCACATAAAAAAGATAGAATATACCTTACTCCTGTCTTTAACTTCGGATTTTGTGCTTCTTTGATGTAATTAAGCGTTGTCTTTAAGTATTTCTTTTCACAAACAGGTAAAGACTGCAACCCGCCCTATAAAATTTCAAATTTTGAATAAATTTACTCCGGTGTCATAGGAAATTTCCCCCCCCCCCGAAAATTTGGCCAAATTTCCTATTGCCTGCGTGCAGGCCCAAGGGAACTGATAGTGGGCCTGCAACCATCGCCCGGTATTTTGTAAAACGCCCCTTTTCATAACACGCCCCATTCGCGCGTCAATTGTCAAAAAAGAACCAACGACAGCACCCAAATATCAAAACAAACAAACTCGCATTAAAATTTGCGGGGTTTTCTCTGCTTATTCAGATTTCAGAACACTATTACTGTCGTTCCAATTGAAGTGTTCCTCAAATATTGCTTCAATACATTACCTCTGGCTGACCGATTCATTTAATCAAGTTCCTCGAGATATTCATACACTTCCTGTGAAAGAGCCAATTCCAAGTATTTGATAATTTCTGGCCACTTCCTTTCTATTTATGATTGGTTAGTTGCACAAACAACAAAGGTGATTGGTGCATTCAAACTATTCAACAGGAAGTTTACAATTATACTAGGAAGTGTATGAATATCTCGAGGAACTTAATCAAATCAATTGGTCAGCCCGAGGTAATGTAGGGTCATTCCATTTATTATCCGCACCCCCCCTATGGATGAGCGGATTCCTACCGGTCAGATATTAGGACTTAGGGGATTCCTACTGGTCAGATATTGGGAATTAACAGATTCCTTTGGCCCGATTCCTACCGGTCAGATATTGCCGTCAAGGTGTAGCATACTATATTGCCAAATATTTATTATGAGAATCATAATAATTTCATTTATTATTCTCACCCCCCCCCCCGGTCTGACATTGGGAATTAGCAGATTCCTACCGGTGAGATATTGGCAATTAGCAGATTCCTACCAGTGAGATATTGGCAATTAGCAGCATTCCTAGGGTTTAGATTGATACTGTCGATTCCAACAGGGTACTTCTCTGAAATCCGATTCCTACAGGTAACATTTTTACCAGAGCTCATCCATAGGGGGGGTGCGGATAATAAATGGAATGACCCGTATTGAATCAATATTTGAGGAACACTTCAATTGGAACGACAGTAATAAACAATGTGTAAATGGCTGCGTTTTAACTCCAAAAAAGCAAGCAACGCAGTCAGTAATTGCCAAATTTGCAAGTGCTCATTTTCAACTAAAATCGGAACAGGCAAATTAGGACGAATTTCAACAGAAAACCAGTCTCAAACTTCAAATCATGAGGGAGTCGTGCGACCACATTAGGAATTTATATTATGTGTGCTTCGCTGTCGCCATTGGCATTGTTATAAATAAATTGTCTCACTTATCAGATCGTGTGTGCAATTCTTGTTGGCGGCAGAAAATACGAAATTTATTTCATTTATTTCATTTGGTAAAGAACTCTACAAAAGAAGAGAGCGTTCCGAGTCCAGATCGTTTCGTTTCAAACGGCAATTTAATACCGCCTTCTGTTTCGCTCTCTCAGCGAAGCCTTGTAAATCGCAAAGTGTTTCGAATAGGCTTACAGTCCTTACATGCAACTGCATCTCAACATCAACCCCAAAAGATAATTTTCTTGAGGAAGTGAGAACACATAACGTATCAACTGAAGTCTGTTTGAAATTAATGAAACTCAAGTAAAGGTTACTATAGTTTACCCCAGTCGTAATTTGCTATTCCAACACCTCACGACAAGCAATCCCCATTGGCATAACGGCAAAAACATCTCTTCCTTCAAGTAAACAATAAACAGTCTGTTCTTGTTCCATTTATAATCGAAAAAAGTGATCAATTTTCGAATTTTGAGCTTATCGAGAGCCTTTGTGATGAATCACTGACCTAATTATAGAATCCAATAGCAAACAGCCAATCAGAATGCCGCGTTCGTGGGCGAACGCAGAAAGTACAAAATACCGGGCCTTGCTTGCAGGCCCACTATCAGTTCCCTTGGGCCTGCATGCGGGCTAGTGTTAAACAGAGTAAAATCATCCGGTGTTAGACAGAGTGAAATCATCTGGTGTTAGACAGAGTAAAATCATCTGGTATTAGACAGAGTAAAATAATAAAGTAAGACGCAACACGACTCAATGGGTTTATAACAAAGTGATTTGATGAGTTAATTAATCCGATAAAGTGTTGATTTGAGCTGATCTAACTTGCCCTAATCAGAAGTGGTTTGTATATTTCATAACTTAATAAATACACCCTTCTAGAAAGTAAATCATAACCACCGATGTAATAACACACAAGTGCACTCTCCCCTTGACGAGTAAAATTGTCTGACGTTAGACAGAGTTAAAAATAAAGTAACATAACATAAATCTATTCTTAGGCTGCATTAGCCTGCATGGCAGGCGGTATTTCCTTAGCCTGCATGGCAGGCGGTACGTAGGAAATACCGCCTGCCGCAAAACTGGGTGTAAATGAACTACCGCCCCTGAAGCATCAACGCTATTTATAGATGCATTAATTAAGTAAATATTCAAAATTAGCCACTCCCAAGCTGCTCCCAAGTCCCAACTGCCCAAACATAAAATAAATTCCTTGATTCTCATCACCGCCCGACTGAATTTTAAAATCCTCGTGAAAACGTTTTATTTTTAGTTATACAATATAAATGTACCGCCCGACAAAATAATTCAAGACAGTTAATTTTTTCATATTTTATATAGAGTTTTTATTGCCATTTTAAACTTCCAATTTGAAACAAACAGAATTTTGAGTGAAATTTCATTGTATTTTAAAGAAACCCAGTCATTCTGTCATTGTTCGTGGAGATACGAACTATTGATATATAAATTATAAATATAAAATATAAAAAATAAATCTCCCACTGTCTTCGACATTTCAAAGTGTAGACTGTGTCTAGTGATGAGAATCAAGGAATTTATTTTATGTGTTAATATAAACCAAGTCCGTTTAGCTGCCTTAAAACGGTGGTTTAATAAGCTCAAAATACAAAGCATGCAAGTCTATACTATAGATTCATCATCAGTCAACAACCAAACTGAAAGTATTGAACCTTATAGAACGATAGTTTTTATTTGTTTACAACTATACATATTCAACGGGTATATAAGAGTTTAACAGTTATTTGATAATTACTGCATCAACCGGCCCCTTGTTTATACTTTGGAGATTCGTATATAATATCTATCAAGTATCTTTGGTTCAGAACATGACTGATAGGCCTATATGGAAATCCCACTGTTCGATTCAGTAAGAAATATCTCCTAATTTCTATCGATAGTTTTAGTAAAATATCAACCTTATTGCGATTTATGGCCTTTGAAAGTCAAGCGAGATAGTATATTATCAAATTAATACGCGTGTAATCGTCTGAACGAAAATATAGACTAGCCCATACCTTTCGCCGATCATAACTTCGGCCCCTTCGGACGTATCTTCTTTGTTAAATGTTCTTGTTCGAATTTCTATCAAAAACACTATTTAGAGTGTTATTTTTCAGCTTGTATCTTTTAATTTGCTTCTTTTATTATGTTATTCCATTTCTGGTCTGACTTGACGTGAACTAATTTCAAAACGCAGGGTTTCAAAACGTCAAAACATTTGGTTAATGATTAACATTTAACCAAATTTAGCCGTTGATTGACAACTACATAAAAATACTAACCAATCCGTTTTTCCCGTTCACCAGCGGACGGGTAATTCAAAAACCCCTAGTTTTGCGGCAGACGGTATTTCCTTTGCTTCCCTAATTTTCGCTGCCCGTAGAAATACCGCCTGCCATGCAGGCTAAGGCTGCATAGACCTAATGACAGTTGAGAAATTTACTCTATATATACTGTATACTAGAAGTTACTATCGCAAGGAAAGTGCTGCCTCACCCCCAAGGGATCGAAGGCTGCATGTGCAATTTGCTGAATAGGGGGCTGTTTTATATATGATCCCGCTTTGCCATAAAGAGATGTGAGGCGGGGTTATTTTGATGTATTGAAACAAGTCACAGTGCACAATTCAGCAAAAGAACTTCATTATTTTCTGGAGATAGATTTAGTTAACTGTACTGTAAAATGAAATGTAATAACAATCTTCTGGAACTACAAGATCTTTTCTACAATATTTGAATTCTGTTAACCAGCATTTTAACTTTTGTTTAGCCTAGGCGTAAAAAAAAATACCTGTGGTTCCGGTTTTATATCGTGAAAAAATTAGGGTCGGTAGGTCGGAAATAAATTTTTTTTTTGAATATTTTTTTCATGGTTTTGGCGGTTTTTTGCTGGGCGATTTGCAGTAGGGTCCCAACATCAATATTAACTAGAGATGCGTATTTCCTATGGACGAATTTAGACAATTTGGTTCAATAATTAGTGTGACAACAGACGCCATTTTGGCACACTGTATGAGCAGCCAGCAACCACCTGGAGAAAATAGGGTCGCACAGTCAATCGCGTTGAAAAAATAATAGGGTCGGTAGAAAAAAATAGGGTCGGTCGGGAACCGGAACCACAGGTATTTTTTTTTACGCCCTACCGACTTATTTCAATACATCAAAATCATGACATCCCATCTTCCATCATGTAAACAGACCTAATCTATTCCCTAAGACACCTGTTCAGTAGGTAGGAAAAGTGCAATTTGAATATCAAACACCTTGCACAAGGTCAAAGGTCAGCTAAATATTCAATGCTTATAACTTCTTGCTTTTGTATGTATAATTATAATACTGTCAGTGGTGAATCTAGCCATTGCAACCATAAGCGTATGGGCCGGGGGGCACAGACCCCCCAAAATTTTCACGGTCAGGCAGAAATCCATGCGTCATTCGGGTAAAACATAAAAATTTCACAAAATAATGTTATGCAAACCAAAAAATTATGTTA